AAAATCGGGATTTTAGAACAAGGGCCCCAGAAGTGAGCGTGAAGAACGGTGACAACAAGATTTACGGCCCCTTGACCCCGTGGAAGAAACGCCGCACTTCAACACTTTCACAATGTCCCACACCTATATGCCCCCACCGTAACAGCCCTCACCGTACCAGTAGCATAGGGCTCAACGGGCAGCACTACCCGTCCTCCATACAAAAATTTTTTGGCTGATCGTGTAAGACACCAGCCGAGCCGAGCCGTGCCGAGCCGAGTTTTAGTAATTGCTTTTAAAAGGGCAGATACACAGTAGATGTGCAGCCAGGCTATCATAAACCATAAGGGAGGTGGTGTAGTGGGTAACGTGTTTCGTCTCCGTGTGAAAGAATATGGTTCGATTCCCTTCCGGCCCGCAGTCATTTTTGAAAAACTGTCTCGTCTACGGTATGTCATTCAGCAACTAGGCTGTCACATTACCCAAATATATGAGGTCTAACTCTTTTTAAATTTTGCAGTGTTTTGTCATTTTTTTCATGATATCGTTTAGGTAGTGGAAATGTTGTTTTGGTTGTTGACAACATTTGGACATGACAGCAGTGATCCGGAATCGAAGAATTTCAAATATAAATTATCAAGGATACATTTTCATTCGTTGACTTTTCATCTAATGGTATTTCTTTCATTCATTTGTTGGCCAACTGGTGGCCCGTAGCATATCATAGAAGGAACTTTTGGTGTTCAAGGCTACATTTCCTGTGTGAAATTCGATAATAACTTAGCCCAGGTAGCATCCCGTTTGAGATATAATTCTAACAAGCGAAGTAGAACAATCATTTTTTATGAAGCCCTTGTCACGTTGTGCAGCCTGACGAAATTGAAATGTTCAAGCTTATCACAATCCTTGGCCATGTCTCTACCAGGAACAATGCTATAGGACCTAAACCGGAAAATCTACTTTACTATGAAAATTAAGAAAAAAAAATCTGGAGCAAAATCGTCGTTCATCGCAAAGGCAAACGTTTTTAGCTGATCGCAAAAACGTGTGATGCGCCAACAACACTGGTACGCTTCTCCACTGCTTATGCTTTTTTGCATGTGCGTAAATGCAGAAATGCACGTTATGACAATCCATAGTGGCTGTGTGTATGTTTATGTATTTACGTATGTGTGTGTGCGCGCATGTATGTGTGCGTCTGTCCGAGTATTTCAACTCGGCAACCAAACAAGCCTTGACTCAGTAGGTTCCCTCGCCAAGTGCCACTTCAGGAGCACAGTACCAGCCTTCACGCGCAGATGAACCTCACGTATGAGCATGTGGAAATTTTGGCGGGAAAATTGCTAACTTGGAAATCAGAAAAACTGGGACGCTGAATTTGAGTGAATATCCCTTGTCTAGGTACAAATTGAAGATTTCAAATTCAGTCTCCAGACATGCCTAGTTTTCATGTACTGGCATGTGAAAATTTTGGCTGAGAAATTGCTCAATGAACAGCTAGGTTATTTTCAAAGAAAAACCATTGGACTGGAATTGTTCATTTTCCTTCATGCAAAATTTGCGATGATTTTGCGACAATGATTGCACAAGCTAAGTCTGAAACAACAACCATTCATACAGTTTATTTTTTGCATTCTCACCATCATACTACTGATAGCATTTCCATCGTCTTTTGTTTCGAATTTGCTACAACTGCATAACTCTACTTAATCGTTTATTTGAATCTTTCCATCTCAATCATGAGCTTCCCAGTGCTCATTTTGCGTAGCTTG